CACTGCTTCTCCAATGGACCCCTCACTCTGCCATTTCCAGTCCTTTTGAGCTGCGGGTTCAACTTCAGAGATAACCTTGACTTTCAATGCACTTTTCGGCAATGTTTGTCACCATCGGTTCGTTTTTATTCATGTGCCTCCCGCTCAGTGTTGCTGTTTTAACTCACTGCCTGCTTGCCTTTTAAGGCATATTGGATTATATATACCGTTCAGCATTGACAACTACATTTTACGGTGTAAAAAATATATACGATTTTCAGCAGACTACGAAAAATGGGCTTAAACACGATCTGCGTAACATGACCCCCTGAATCAATGGCCTTAGATCTCATCAGCGTGCCTGAAGACAAGACACCCATAATCCTGCACATTCCATTGCAGCTCAACCAATGCTAGGTGAAGTTTCCACTGTCCGTTTCATTTGTTCAGTTCTGACTTTCTTCCTCCTCGCGAACAAGGGACAGATTGTCTGTCCAGGAGAACACCTGTAAGGTGCATGTCGTGGACAAGGTCACTTCAGTGAGCTCCCTCACTTGAGTCAATAGACAATTATTTCCAAAGCAGATAGAAGAACGTCAACTTCAAACAGTGAACATTCTTCAGGCTGATTAAGCCAAATTATGTTCTATTATTTTGGCTGGCTTGGATGAATTGGGGTCTATCTTGTCCTCTTAGTGGCGGAATTCAAGACAGAGTAAACGTTTGAGGTATGTTTGGAGTTTCAATAATATCGAGCTCCTTTAATGAAAGAGTAGCACAGAGTATCAGATAAATAGCTGGATGTTCTTTTTTTTTTTTTTATCTTTCAACAAAGATATTGACTTTGTCATTGGGTATGTTGCTGTAGAGATTAAATGAAATTGCCACAACGATTGTTTTTATGTAATATTACAAACTGTCAAACTGGAAGACTTCATAACAAGAATCAGTTGATGCATGAAAAGTAAAGAGCAGGGAAGAAAACTATTACATGAACCACTTTCATTTTCTTTGATTATAATGGTAACTCAAAAACATTTATATTGATGAATGTTTTCTTGGGTACTATAATTAAATTATTCCATTCAATTAGCACATTATATTCAACTTGGACGACCGCGGCAGTCTCGTGGCAGTTTACAAACACTCTTCCATATAAGGCTGAAATGATTGCAGCCACATGATGTCATTCCTTTCCCTTCAAAATAAGATCACATCAGCCTGTACGAGCAATTGTCACTGGCAGCGATTACAAGAAGTTACGACGTGGAAATTAGAGGAATTCGAAGATAAAATTAATTTCAGAATTCATAATCTCGATTACCTCACAAATGCTTCTAACTATGTTTAAACGATTATCATTCATATTCCATTACAGATTGTGTCATTGTCGATTAAATTCCCAACAACACATATCTATTATCGCAACATATATTTATTACAAAATTTTGAACATTTATTGCACAATGTTCAAAAACCGGAGTACCCGGAGCAAATCCGGGAAGAGAACAAACTCTGTTCTGGTCAATCGTTACTGTAAATTAAAACTATAAAAACCTTATAATTATAATTTAATGGCACAGCAGACGTAGCAAGGCTAGAACTACTCCAAAAGTACCCGATTTTATTATTCAGGAATTGAAGACTACGGTTCGTGTGCCACCTAGAGTCTATGTCAGGCAACTACTTCAAAAACATTTTTTACCAGCTCCTCCGTTATCAACTGGCATATATTCAGACATAGGCGATCGCCTAGGGCGCCATTTGCTTCTGGGGCGCAAAAGAGCGAACGAAAGAAAGTCAGAAGAAATAGCTCTGGCTGCATTTCGTGACATTACAGTTATTTACATTAGTTTTGACTTTTCTTCTGAAACAGAGACAGATACCCTGTGCTACTGAAAAGTCTTTAATATAAATGAATTGGACAATTATTTTTTTTCTGCTGCTCTGGCGGGTGAGAGCACTGAGCAAAATCTTACCTGGGGGCGCCAGGACACCTAGGGCCAGCCCTGCCTCTGTTCACTATTCAAAGACGTGATTATTTCACATTATTGTTACTCTGAAGTGTTATATGTCAGTAAGTGACACTGTTGTTTGATGGTTTGCTAAGTGCTTTTGGGCAGTTGGAAAAGGCAGCCCAGACCAGAATGGCAGACCTGGCCAAAATCCCACCCCTGGGGACCTGTTTTTACTGGCCCCCACGATAATTAGAATGAACAAAAGTGTATAGTTTTATGTTCAAGTCCAATGAACAATCACAAATACACCTGCTACATCCATACTGGCACACAAGGATGAGTATCTGAAGAAAAAAAAAACGTCTTCAATTTTAGTTTCCATGGGATATGAAAATAATCATTAAAAACGGTCCCCTGTTGATATGGCGAAGCTGAGATTTGGCCATCCATGGAAAACAAAGGCTGTTCTCTATTGAAGTAACCAAGCCTGAATTGCATTTCTTTGTCAGGGGGTGAAAAGATGGTTTCACATAGAAAATATTAATGGTAGTTTGAGGGCAAATACCCAGAATAAAACCAAGGTACATAGCAGAAATGTACACCTAAATAGCAGGAATCTAATCTACACCTTACTGAGCCTCCCGATTTCAGGAGAGGTGGGATGTCTGACAGTAGTTAAGGGAGCAATGCAAGAATCTATAGAATATTAAATTAATTAAAGGTGTATAAAGCCATATCATTTTAAAATGAAAAAAAATATATTTTTTTTAAAATAGTTTTCCTTTGTGGAAATTGTTATTCCATTTTTTAATAATCTGACAGCACAATTAATGCATAACTGGCAACCCAATCTGAAGGAGTCTGTGTCAGACATCCCATCCTGACAGTATCAGGTCACTGCGTTTTCGAAAAACTGAATCATTACGTATGTTCATCCAACCTGTCAATTCTGCGACTTGACCCTACGATCAATTCTGATTTTGTTTGCAAATCATAAGTAATAAAGTTGAAATAACATTAAGTTAGCATTAAGCAGATATATATCACACTAAATATCTTATACCCCGCGTATACCAAGGTACCATACTTATTTAGTAATTCACTAGATTTGAATTGTCAAATGCATGTAAATCATTGAAATTTTAATTGCTATTAAAATCTAGTCAAGTAGTTCTGCATAGCCCAATAACATTCCATACCACAGTCAACATTACTAGGCTTCAATATACAGTAGTTTTCAAAAATGTATAAGCAGTTAATGTCTTTTTCAGTCTCAACAAGTTAAGTCTGAGATTTCACATTAACTTGTGTACAGGGTACAAGAATAGCTATATAGTAGACATGCAGGCCAGCAACCACAAACTGATCATTATAAAGATAATTAAGAGAATCTACTAGACCTCCATGTAATTAACCTGCGGTCAGAAACCACACAGCTATAGAAGAAAAACATTCAGCGTGTCAAACCCACCAACAGTGCTGAATCACCACGCCACTCTGGAATGATATATATCGTGCACAGCACAACAGCCACACCAATACAAGAACAGAAACACAAGTGAACACTGCAGTACACCAGCTGGTTATTAACTAGTCCTTGCGGTTTTATTTATCATGTTTGCATAAAAATGCATCTATACATACAAGAATCTTCTTGGCATGTAAAATACATCACAACATTGCACATCATTATTTAGAAGGTATAACCAGGGTCAGTTTAACAAAAACAAAAAAAGACATTTCCGCCTCTTCAGGTTGTACTGTTTTCAGAAACCTAAATGGAATACAAAAAAAAAACTAAAATCATTTCCTTGTGTACATATGCAGGCAAAAGTAGGCTCACACCAGTTTGTCCAGCATTTCATTTCAAAATTAAGGGCATTAATAAGAAGCTGCTCTTCCCTTTATTGTAGTGAAACCTATATTATTCTGGGAAGATTTTCCAATACATGTTGCAACGTCGACATTGACTTTATTTAGCAACGTACTTTTAGACATATAATGTATAGCATTTATTAAAAAATATTTTTAAAAGAATAATGCTCAGGGCACGAGGCAGGGAACAGCCTAGATGGGATGCCAGCTCTTCACAGGACACGCACTCGTTACGCCACACCCACCCACACACACCCAAATTACACACCCATCCATCCTCTGTTTGGGGGGGGGGGACCTATCCCAAAGTCTACGGGCGCAAGGCAGGGAATAACCTACAACGTGGTGGCAAACCATCGCAGGGCACACTCACACACCAGTGCATAAAATGTAGGCCATCATCACGGTGTCTGATCACGGTGCAAACTAAAACATCTAATTTCCTTTACCTTTAAAGAATCGGATGCTTTGCGCAGCTCCTTAATCACTGAAGAGAGGGCTTCAGGGTTGATGCCTTGCTCACAGAGACGAACGCATATTGAAAGAGATTCCATATCCAGGCCTGTATTCAGAAGCTTTGATATCTCTAGCAGAACTAGAAAAACAATGAAGTAAATACAATCATCGTCTTTTTCAGGGTGTTTAGCATGTGCATGTGCTAACATTGTTGTAAACATAAGTCAACACAAGCCATTTCTAATGTCAAATTTAAAAAGACTGGTGCAATGGAATTTTTTTAAAAAAGACTTGTGTTATAGATTTTTTTAGATGCTTTGTAATGTAAGCTAACGTTATAGAAAAAGCTTTTGCCTTCCACCTGGTAAAGAGATGCGCCATACAAAGGATTTACAAGTAACGGATGCACTTCAGTACTTAGCAACATTAATGGGAGTCGTTCGTATTTGTTCAAGCAGTCTAACCATCGTGTATCACATAAAAAATGTTAACCTTACCGTCCATTGTTTCCCGAACTGCATTAAGATTTGCAGCGCTTGCCATGTTAACTTTATTGTATGTATACAAAAGTCTATATTCTATTTACACACATCGCACAGCAAACACAACAACGTATCCTACAGGCAGAGAGCCACACCGCCTGTCATTTCACTGGAAAAATAAAGTTACCGCATTTCAAAAAGGAAATGACGTCAAAACGCATAGTTTCGAAAGATGAATGTGATTGGCCATTGCGCATTTCCGCGTGATTACTATTGGTCAGCTGACACTGAGGGAAAATTAAAACGGACGTTAAGACACTCTCAGGGCAACATTTGTTTTTTCATTGCTGCTATTGTAAGTACTTAAAAACGATTAACAATTTATACGTAAAATTGTGTTTACTTTTGGTGTTATTGCTAAAATTAAATTTGTCGAATTTGAAGAGTGTAGTTTTTTCCCCTTAGTATACAGATCTTTAAATGCCGTTGTATTCAGTAAAAGTTGACCTGCGCGATATACGTCTCATTAAAAGTGTTGTTTTCCTCCCTCTCTTATTCTTCAAAGTAGGTTCCACGGTTGAGGGGAGATGGGAGATGTACCTGAGGTTCAAGTCACGCCCGAAACACCCGGACGACCAGTAATTCACAACCCTTTTGAAAGCCCTAATGATTACCATCGTCTGCTTGAGCCCGTTGTTGCCAGTCCCTCAATGTTTAAGTCTTCAAAATGTCCATCAGCCGTAAGTGTGTGTGTCTGTTTGTGTTTTGGGAGTGGGGAATTTACTGTATTTTGACGTTAAATTCGCCCGATTGCTACTGTTTGGTCATCATAACTGAAACAGATTGTTGACACAAATTTAGATGCTACCATCATAAAGGTTAAACTCCTTGCAGGGCGATATAATCTTGTGTGAGTGGTTAGAATTTTGCACATAAACCATTCATCCATATTTGTTCTTGTTGCATAATGTAATTACTTCTCTTATTTGACACATGTTAAATTCCATTCCACAATCTATTATATTAATGAAATATTTCAATCAAAACTGACCAAATGGGAGAATGGACCTTTAGAAATCTGTTAAATACTGTTCTATTTCAGACACCTGCCAAGTTTAAATGGTCCATAGATGAAATGGCAAGTTTGCTGCCTGTTGAAATTGATCCTGAAGACATTCAACGTCAATCCCTGTTCTTAAGTCGAACCAGGTAAATTCTCAGATTAAAATGACAAAGGAGTATCTATTTAGCCTTTTTGATACTTTGTATTTTTCTATAAGTTTCCTGTACTGACATATTGAAACAAACTGCTTTATTAGAAGTGAATAGTCATGTGCTGCAGTCCAACAATTCAGCAACACAACTCCTGGTCGTTCTGTTACAGCATGTATTCTGAAACATGCAGATGTTTTAGTTAAAGCAGCAAGACCTGCTGCAGAAAGGTCCATGTTATGCACATTATTGGTAACGTTTTCCCTTCTTTTTGCTTATGTATAGGACTGATAAAGTGATTGAGGAAAAAAGACAATATGCGATCGAGCAGGTAAAGTTCATTCTGCTTACGTCACAAGTGTGCTTTCAAGATATACTTTAATGATCCCAGGGGGAAATTTGCTTGGATACAGCACTGAGGTACTTAAAGTGCACAGGTGAAAATACATATTGCATAAACTCGCGACAAACTGCAAAGACAGTTCACATAGTGCAGGAAATATTCATGATGAATGAATAACAAGTTTATTGTGTTGTTTTACATATATTTTACATAGTAAAAGCCCAGTGCCATCTGTTTTGTAAAAATGGGCTGTTGTCCTCGTGTGTGATGGCTGGCACATTGGGAATTGAAGTAGTTTTTCTTGTTAATGCATTCCTGGTTTCCTTTAAGCTGTGATTTGATGCATTAGTTTATTTCAATCCAGTTTTTCACAAAGAAAACAATCGTTCCCTCACCTTGGAGTGAAGTAGAAGATAAGGGGCCATCACAGATGCAGTATGAAATCAGTAGGTCTAAATTTCATTCTCAATTACAGGCTCTACCAGAATTGTCTACATCTGACTTTTTATGAGTTTTTCTTAAAGTAATGCAGCATTAATGAAAGTCAGATTCCAGCTTTTCATGCTTTAAGTGGTTCAGTAGAGAATCATTGGAGTAAAAGGGTATTTGAAGGGTAACACAAAAGGAATTAAATGGCTGAAATTGTATAATAATTCTATAATTCTAACATGCATTAATTCCACTTTCTAGATTCAATTTCCCCAAGGATTTCTGAAGAAAATTGTCCTGAGGGGAAATGCAATGGTTTGTACTATAACGTTTTTTGTAAAATGATTACTGATTTGTTATATTGGCATCTGACTGGGCTATGTAAATAATTTTGTGATTCTGAGTGATCTCATAAAATTGCCCACAAATGTATAATTATTGTCCTTTTTTGTTTGTTTTTTTCCCCCATTCGCAGCTACCTGCCAAACTGTACTATCTTTACCTGTTGATTTCAATCTTCAAAGAATATTAGGTAAATATAAACATGCACTTTAAAAAGCAGAGAAGCAAATATTCATAACCTCTTAATGTTTCAGCATCGTGGTATGTGTGATGTGTAAATATTCTAGAATCTTGTCTTCACCTGTTTCCGGTTGTGATTTTAATAACATGAATGTCTCCCTCCCTTATGTCAATAGGAGATCACTACAAAATGGAAGAGGTTTCAGAGCAAGCTCAGGAGAGCTTAAGTTCTTCTTCCCTGCGACGAAAGCTCTTTCTTGATGGGAATGGGAGTGGATCAGAGTCATCTGCACCCTCCAGTCCAGAGCAAAGCCCCCAAAACAGATTTCATGGAAAAAGTGGCCCATTGGGTTCTGTTAATGTCTCGCCGCTGCACTGTGGAGTCGCAGCCTTAACACCATCATCTGTGAGTGTATTTTACATGGTTGTGTTAAGAGCATATTTAAAAATTTTCCAAACTAAGTACTTTCGAAAAAGTATATGTACGCTTAATTGTTTGCTTTCATAGAAATTTGATCTGGTGCCATTTTTTTTTTTTTTTTTTTAAAGGGGCAGTTCTCATCAAGTCCAATCAAAGGCAGGTGCAGAAATTACAGCTTGGGCAGTGTGACCAGTCCTACGCTTCCTGAAAATTCATCCCCTAGTTTTAAGTCTCCCATGTTGTCCCCCATTGTTCTCCAGTATGTGAAAACTCCATTGTCGGGTAAGTTGTGGGAAGGAATATCTGATTCTTGCCATGCGTTTCTAAGATTCTTTCAGTCTGCGGGTTTATGACGATGCATGTTTAGAGAAACTGTCAGACTGGTGATTTCATTGTAGATTGAACTCATGTTTTGCAGGTGAGAGGAAGAAGTTAAGCTTCACAACCCCAGACAGAATTGCTCTGGGAAGCCCCAACACTAATAATTGTACCGTGAGTCCTTTTGTTGAGGGATGCTCTCCCATTAAAAGCTGTTCTCCAGTTCAACGCCGAGGCGGTGCCTGGGTGCGGCCTCAATACAGGACCTCCCCATTACAGATGTCACCTACTGTTGATAAGGAATGCATTCACCCTGACTGCACTTTGCCCACAACTGAGCTAGATCTGAGCTCAGCCCCTATGCCCTCCCACTCAGGAAGATATAAAGCAGCCTTGCATGACATAATTGAACTTGATGACAGTAATGTAGCAGTCCCAAAACTAATGCAAGTGGAAAAAGGGGATAATAACTCAGTGAATATGGAGGGACCTGCTGAAAATCAGGAAGATTATAGCGCCTGGTCAAGGGACGAGGTGGACAGCAGCCCTATGCGGTTAACCAGCTCTAGGACGGGAAGCATGACTAACATGGAGAACTCTAATATGTTTGTCTCCATGTTGGCTGAAGGGAGCACCATGCCCTATGACAGCAGTATTCAGGTTTGTATACAGCTTTAGTGCTGGGGTTTGCTTGGCTGACACTGCCTAATTCAGCAGAGGTGCTTGATATTACAGTTGAATGATGAAAATTTCAGCATTGCTGGTGAATAGAATAGTAATACATTTTAATCCCTTTGGGAAGATAGTGTGTGTATGTATGCATGTGTATATATATTTTGACTGGTTATATTACTCATTGCAGTGCTGCTGTCTTCATTGTCAAGCCTGCTGCCTGTTGATTTTGATGTTTAGTATTTCTCTCCACTCTCTCTAGGTGGACAGCGGTTACAATACATATTCAGTTGCTCCAAACAGCATAACGGATGGGGGTAGTTCTGACAGTCAGACAAAGGAATCACCCGATGCACATGTATCAGAAGAAGCTGTTTTATTCACTAAAAAGTCAAAGGTAATGAGCTGCCATTTCATGCAGTTTGATCTTTCTCATAATGCATCATCACACTGAGGTGCCATTCGATGTATGTGCCACAGCCATTAAACTTAAATCTTCCATTGAAACCACAAATTCACAATTGTGGTATCTTTATTTTGACAGATGTTTAATGTGCACCACTGATAATGAAGTCGAAGCTGCCCACATCACGTCCGGGTTGTTGCTCGACATGAAATCACAGACTGACTTTAATGACACTCATGCAAATGTGAATTACTATGACTTGTATAGTGTTCCTTATTTGCACAAGCTTGTTCTCCTCCAAACTTACTGGTAGTGGTGGGAAAATGAGATTTGGTCCCTTGAATAGTCACTAGCCCACCTCCCAGTACCTGCTTGATTGTGATTGCCAAGAATCTCACCCAATGTTTGTTTCAATTATTCCATCTGTATGGATGTGATTTAAAGATTTTTTTTATTTTTAATTATGAACCTGTTGTTCAATGAAATTACGATTCCAGTTAAAAACTTGAATTCTTTACTAAGAATCTAATTTGTACATTTTTAAATGCTCCTGTTCTTGGACCACTAATTACAACATATATATTTTAATCAGTGTCATTTTATTAAATCGAATGAAATAAAGCATTCTGACACTGGAGAAACACTGTGAAACGTCACTTTTGTCCTCCCCTTTTGGTAAAAATCTTTTCAACAGTTTCGTAACAATCGAAATGTATTCAGTATGTACATTTGTTACTGCTACACTTACCGCTATCGAATAAATGTTTTACGGTTATATGCTTCCGTCATTGGCAATCGAGATTAATTTTCTCAGGTTATTTCTTTAGACGAATTTACACATCTAATATTTTACTGATTCAACAATTATAGCCGTGTATAGTTGCAGATATTCAGGTATTTCGGATCTTTAGTATATCAAAAGCGTTTGGACAACTAAAATTTAATCAGTGTGCATATCAAACTAAACACCCAACACCGAACAAATTTCTATATGAATGCGACAAAATGACTATTGATTTAAATATTTGAAAGTTATCACTTCCGGGCAAAGGTGGTGAAAAATTTTACTCTCATAGCGCCCCTTGTGGTTCGGCGTAAATTTCGTCGCATGCAAAACACTTAAATTCGTTAGTATTTTTTTCTTCGTTTTTCTCATAAATATCTAAATCAGCACAGAGAATCTTCGTATATTTTGCGTCCATGAAGGTATTGGTGCTATCGAATAAGTGTTATGTTTTTAGTAGGTCTGGGTGTTGATTGAAAGGTCAGCTCGCTGTTTCCAGTCCCCTGAAGCGGGATTATTGAAAAGCGAACTGCTGTTCCGGCGCTAGCTGGGCTGCTAAGGTAGCCGGACTGCTTAGCAACGTGGCCGTTAAAAGGACGCTAAGCTAAAAAGACGCCGACTAATCTAACTACGCGTGGTTTCCAAAGTAACGATGAGATAGTGTGGTAGCTTTACGAAAAGTGCGCCCTGTCGTCTTTTCGGGGTTGTTTTCCCTAGGACTATAAATGGACATTGTCCTTAATTTAATGCAGTTTTAATGTAATTGAAATTTAGCAGTTTTTTTTTTTTTTTAGAATTTTACTCTCTAAGGCACCGGTCTTGTTGGTTATATATTTCATTGTGTAATAACGTTTGAAACTAACAAATCTACAGACTATCACCATCTACAGATAACCACTTTGAAAATACGGATACCCGAAAATAACAAGCTGGCCATTAAGTGTTTTCCTTAGTTTATTATTTACCAGTTTGTGCTGCCGCCAGAGCAGCCCATTGCTAAAAATGCCACCCAAAAAACATAAAGATGCAAAGGTAAACGTGTCGAGCTCGCTGGAGTCCGAAGACTTTAGTTTGGAAACGACGGTTCCGACCGAAGACATTTCATCCTCGGAGGAGAGAGAAGGAGCGCAGAAGGTCACCAGGCAGCTGATCGAGAGGAAGGAGCTGCTCCACAACCTGCAGCTGCTGAAAATCGAGCTGTCACAGAAAAACCTTGTGATTGATAACCTCAAGGTAGATCACCTCACCAAGGTAAGACAAAGGGCCGGCGTTTGAGGCACCAGCCTTGGCGGCTGATCATGTCATTCAAACAGTCCCCAGTACTAAATGCACGAAAAGGGCACCGGTTAAATCTGAAAGCCAGGTTTTGTTTTGGTCTATCTATTTTTGTTTTTGTTTGTTTGTTTATTTCATTGAAGGTACTAATTCGGTGTCTGCATTTTTTTTTACTTGTGTCCATATCTAGGTTTTACTGTTTTATGTCAATCTTGTTAATATCCAAGACACTTATATTCTGTTTGCAGTAAGGAACGGAATTTCATCTCCGTATATCACCCATGCATCACAGAGCTGAGATGACAATAAACCAATGTTGAGGACTGCATTGCGGTGTATTATGTAAACTTGTATGTATTGTATGTGATTGACATTGAGATGATTTGCACAGATTGAAGAGTTAGAAGAGCAGCTGAATGATACCCTTCATCAGAAACAGCTTCTCACACTGCAACTTGACAGCCAACTTAAACTTCAACAAGAAGAAACCAGGTTAGAAAGACTCTTAATTTTCAATTGTGTGGGTGTTTTACCGATTTGGAGTTGGTGCTCCAATAAATCAGAGAGAGATGCGTTGATTATCCAAATAACCAAGGTCTTTTCCAATATCTTCTCCTGTTTGGCTGTGATGCTTATTTCTGAACAGAAAACAGCAAGCTTTAAGGAAACAGGAGATGGACACTATTCTGTTGCGACAAAAGCAGCTGGAGGAGACCAACAGACAGCTTAGTGAAAAAGCGGGAGATATTCGGCGAAGTTTGAGAGAATTGGAACTCACCGAGGAAAAGTACAATGAACTCAAGGAGCTTCCGGAGGAGAAGCTGTCCATTTCGGAATATGTATCTGTGAGGATTTTGTTTGTTTTGTTATTTGTTCATTCATGCATATACACAGACATGTATCCAGCCACAGTACTTTGTAAAATTCATAGGCTGATATCTTCACCACTAGTCGACTTAATTGTTTAATTAGTTGGGGGGGGGGTTTATATATTAAAAAAAAAAAAAAATCATTGAAGTATTGTTCAGCCAATGGTTGAGTCAAAAAAATTCATGGGTGTTTTGAATGGTTGCTGCTAACACTGGTGTGATTTTAGGAGAAATTATGCTGACACACCATGACAGACATAATATGATTTTACACCAACACAAAGATCATTTAAACATAATTTTCTTTTACTGCCTAAGACTTTTGCAAAGTACCATGGCAGATAAAAAAAAATTGGGAAAGACTGCACTAAAGCAGGGGTGACCAGCTTGGTGCCTGCGGGGACCAGGATGCCCCCAATGAGCACATGAGTCGCCCGCGGGCACCAGGATGCCCCCAATGAGCACATGAGTCGCCCACGGGCACCAGGATGCCCCCAATAACCACATGAGTCGCCCGCGGACCTGTTCTAAAAATTGGGACATCAGCAATGCTGTGCAGTGAGCAGCGTCTAAAATTGAATTTTATCCTGCTGCTGTTCTACTTTAATCACGTTTGAAATGATATGGATTTGAAAATGACAATATCTAAAAAAAAAACAAAAACAAAAAACGTTTATTATACATGAAGTTCAGATAAGTTTAGGAGGGCGTTTCGAACTGGTAGCCCTTCGCATGGCTCAGTACCCGTGAAGTAGCTCTCAGTTTCAAAAAGGTTGGTGACCCCTGGGCTAAAGTACAAGCAAGGGAAGTAGAAGTTGGTCCTGCAGTATAATATTGGTATACAGGCTGGTAGGTTGAGAATCTCTTCACAACTATCATGTGAAAGCATGTTGTGAGGAGAAAGGAGACTCTGAATTCTTCCCATGTGGAATACAGGTACGGTTCTATGAAGTTGTGACCCCATTGAGGGCTCAAATAAAGGAGCTTCATCTCAGAAAGAATGGCCTGTCGGAAGACCTGGATGTCCATAGAGCTCAGCTGAAGTCCCTAATGGAGGTATGAATTGAGACTGTAAACAGTTTTGATACCTTAGCCCTTGCGTATTACTGTATAGTGCTTATTGAAGTATTGCTTAAATTAAATGTTCAATTTAACACTTACAGAATGTACTTTAAAAAGAATATATACACTAAAAATGTGTAATACCATTTTTCTGTTTTGCATGATTTTATTTTTAGGAGAAATTAAAAAAATAAGATGTTAGATTTCGAATAAGGCCAGCTTAATTCATTTTTATTGGATGAATAGTTTACTCTTATAGATGTGAAATTTAAATGTCATTATGTGTTTTTTTAAGAGCTATGAAGAAGAAAGGAGAATTCGTTCGGACCTGGAGATCAGGTGTCAGCGACTCACTTTGGAGCTGGCAGATACCAGGCAGCTGATTCACGAAGGGGACTTCAAGCGCGAGAACTACAGCAAAGTCAAACGGTGATACACCACAGCATGTCCTGGTGCCCAGTAAATGTTTGGGATTGCATGGGTGGGTTATGAAACACAACAGTAAAATAATACCAGGACTAAACGTGAACAGAGTACATGTTTGTGTTTTTACACCTGTAGTGAAAGGGATGCCTTTGAGACTGAAATTACTGAACTCAGAAGGCGACTGGAAGCACTTGAAGTGGTACATAGTGCTCAGACTAAGGAAAGGGATCACCTACACAAAGAGGTAAAATGGCATGCTTCCATATTAATTTTGGTTTCCCTGTTTGTACTTTTATATATTTACTGTGTTGTCTGTAGCTGCAAAGGTACATTTAGTTCGGCCCTGGTATAGACAAGCTCTGCACCTGCTCTGAGTTGTACTTGGTGAGAACCGTTCCAAAAAAAATGTACGAAAGTAGGCGATTAAGCTTAAGTGCACTTTGTTTCGAAGTGGGATAGGATGCTGTGCTAGTGATCGGAAGGTCGCTGGTTCAAATCTCATTCTCAGCAAAGTCCAGGGACGGCTGTCTCTGCTTTCTGAGTTGTATGTGCTTTGGATGAAACAGCTGCTACATAAATGTAAAAATATATATATATATATTTTCCCCACAAAAATGTCTTCCCGATCTCAGCACTGTTACAATTGTCTGTGTCAATTGAGCACTTAAATTTTTTAATGTTACACTCCCCTGGAAGCTGGTAATTGTGCATTTATTTGTGGATATGTTTGTTTTATTTTATGTTTTTTAGCCTGTATTGTGTAATTAAATTTATGGTAACCGACAAACAATGGTCAAATTTGTTCCGTGATTCTTGTGTAATATTTTATTTTGTTATATATGAACTATGTAACCGAAACAAGAAAAAAACATTTACTATTGCCATGATCACAATTACTAAATAGTAGTATATTGGGTACTGTTGCTTTAACTGTTTATTATGAATGATATTGCTGTCTGGCTCACTGAGTGCACTTCCAAACTCTATCAGGTGGCTAATCTGCAGCAGTCAGTCACCCTTCTACAGAAAGACAAGGAATACCTGAACCGTCAGAACACGGAGCTGAGCGTCCGCTGTGCGCACGAGGAGGACCGTCTGGAAAGGCTTCAGACCCAGCTGGAGGAGAGCAAGAAGGGCCGGGAGGAGACCTATGAGAAATATGTGGCATCGAGGTGGGCAGCAGGGTGCAGCAGAGCTTTAAGAAGCTGCGTATTACCGGGGGGGGGGGGGAGGGGGTGTGCTGTCGCATCGCAACAGGGCCATTTCATTCATTGTATTTGTTCCCAGTGCTTTTCTTGTACATGTAGAAGTGTTTAAAGCAATAAGACATTTTTGGAAGAAAGCTCCTTCATCTTCCCC